GTTGAGATACGCTTGACGAAGCCGTCCTCGTAACAATGTGGTAGCACGAACAATATTTGTATCATTAGCCGGATCATAGTATGATGCTCTTCGGGCCCAAATGGCCTGTAGCGTCACAACAACACCTAAAGTCCAGGAAATCGATGCTACATCGTGTAAATTCCTTTGTATACCATCTTTCTGTTCAGCTGGACGGGTCCCCAGCAGTTGGTCAAAAAGGGTTCAAATACCTTCTGGTACATCTGGCATTTTTAATCCGAAGAGCGTCATTGTTGTAAAACTATTAGTTCCCATTCCTAATAGGTGCCAGTGGTGATAAAATTCGTCCCAAAGTGTTTTCGCACCTTGACAGGTCCAAAACATGTGCAAAACACTTGTCTCTCTATTCCCACATTTATCAAGGACACACTGAGGCCGATGCGTGATCGGATTCCATCCACGGAACGCTCTTAATTTGATTCGTTGGAGTAGTTGTTTGCCCCACGGTGATACTCACATCAATATTCTGATGGTTTCCCATTTTACTGACTGTAATGCTGCTCGAAGTGCTGGGCATTCGTTATTCCAAGCGGCTTGTCGCCGAAGAATTTCGTATGCACCCCGTCTCCGCTGTGCCGTTCGCACCGAGTTCTTGAAACTCGCTCGGGATCGTGCGTAGCATCTACCATTCGCCCACATGCAAACCAATCTACTCAATTTTGGATGTGGATCAATACTTGATACATGAATTCCATCTCCAACAATGCGCTGTACCATTCTTCTTCTGAATGTACCGTGACCATCCTGCCAGTGGCATCCGTGGAGATCCGAGCACCAAGTACGTTATGTTCATCACTTTGGTCTACTACAGCTATCGTGACGGGATGATCTTGTGGTGAGGCAGTCAATCTGAGTTAGTTCAAATTGCGCATCTGATACATCATTTCGGGAAAATTTCCAATCAGAATGACAATCAGTCGGCGGATGTCTGGTAGTGTCCCGTTCAAGAGATCCGTAAACTGAACTACCCCCGTCGTTAGTGTTGTCCACTGTATGATTTGATTCAATCGAGCTGCGGTCATTGCGTTTATTGTGTGTATCCATACTGCCGATGTAGTGGCACCTACATCTGGTAGACGAACTAGATAGCGAATATCCATATACCCCATCCACTCGGTTCTGAGTTCCCCATAATGAGTACGAAGGAACTTTCGATATGCTGCCGATGCCGACCCAATCAACACGCGGCAATCCACTGTAACGGAATCACTCGCCCAAACCAGTGTGGGGGGAACGATGTGTTCAACCACATTAAGGAACGCAATTGTTGCCTCCTCATATCCCTGAACAAAAGCATTGGATCCGTGCGTCAACACCTTCTCTGCCCCCACTCTAAACAAATTAGTCCGTTTACTGAACGCAGCAATAGGTCTTGGTGCGTATCCAGGAGTTATGTACTTCATCGGCAATGGTGAAGCACAGTCCCCCGAAAACAGTATGTCTCCTACCAATGTGCGAGTTTTGGTCGAATTTTGGGCCCATGTTGTCACGGCCACAGCAGCCATTGCAAGTAATTCAGCTCTTAAATTCGGTAGTGCTAAACCACCCTCATTTCGGGGAAGACTGGCGATGTCGTTTGAAATCCAAGCGCGCCCTTGAATACGATCTTCTTCAAAACATCCGAACCACACGAAGTTGTGGATACATTTTGTTAAGTGACCGACGATAGACGTGGTTGGCCACGAGTGACGACCAACATACAGGAAAGCTGGGATAATAACCGCTAAGACCACCATTGAACGTTGATTAGCGGTGAGCGTGCGCTGTCTAGCCAAGCGTAAACGCTTTCTGATGCGTTCTTCGGCTAGTTCCCAGTTTTGTTCTATTGTGTTTGAGTTTCCTACCTGAATGCCCAAGTATCTGGATGTTTCTCCAGCGTCTTTGTAACGAAAATCATTTGGTAATTGTGGGAATGACATAATGTCCTTGGCAGCTAGGGCGATTATAATGGTCTTAGATTCGTTGATCACTAATCCAGATGCGTGCCCATAACGTTTGGTTGTGTCCAACAAGGCAGGTATGTATGTAGTATCCAGTAAATATGCTGCTGTATCATCGGCAAACCCACCTACTTTTAACTCTTCGCACTCGTTGTCTGTTGCTAATTGAATTCCACGAATGTCACTTTGTTTTTGCAGTTTCTGATAAAATGGTTCTAAGGCCAAAATGAAGAGGTCCGGAGCGAGTGGACATCCTTGGCGAATCCCGCGCGTTACCATTACCTGACGCGATGATTTCCCATTAATTAAAAATCTAACTGTTGTTCCAGTGTGCAAAGCTTCAATTACGCGAACGAAATGTGACGGATATCCATGTCGCGTGAAGGCCACATACAAGAATTCTCGGAATAGAGAGTCATAGGCCTTGGCAAAATCGAGCAGAACCGCAATTGCATGATTTGATTCAGGAATTGACTTTGACATTGCTTGTGCAGCCGCAAACAAATCCAGTGTATCATGTATGTGACGTCCAGGAACGAAACCGTTTTGATGCGGATGTATTCTTCGTTCCAGCGTTGGGGCTATCTTAGTCGAGAGGAGTCTTGTTAGAATTTTATAGTCTGTGTTTAATAATGCGAGAGGTCGATAGTTTAGCGGATTTGCCCCATTTCCTTTCTTTTCAAACAAAAAATGTTTGCCTGGAGAAAAGAGCTTGGAAATCACCAGCTTCGTACCACATTCGATATAGGTTCGTAAGGATAGGGACCAAAGTCGCAGCATAATCGCGGTACCAATCATTACCAAGGCCGTCCGGTCCGCACGCCTTGCCTGTATTGCAGTCATTGGGGGCTTCAGAGACGGATGCGTCTGTGATAAAATCGCTATCAGCTAAAACATCTGTGAATTCGTCTCCCGACTTGATATCCATCCACTCAGCTACGTCACAAATGTCTGAAAAAGCGGGTATTGGGCCTTGCAGAATTGGGCTCCATGCATCTGCAAATGCTTCAGCTTTCTCCTGTACACCATGGATCATACCCCCATCCGCCATCCGTAAAGTTGGAACTACATTGTAAGTAAATTTGCACGAAATCCGTTGAAAGAAGTTTTGGTAGATTTACCAGGAATCCAAGTATGTTCTCGGTAGAGCCTATGTTGCCGACAACGTGCTCGTTCACGCCTACAGTCAGCAATTGCTCGTTCTTCAATTTGCAACTCAGTATACGCTGCGTCTCCTGTACGAGTCCCTGCAGCATCACGTGCTCTCAACAATGCTCGGGTGCGTTGTTTGTTTAGTCTCCTAAGTTTTTGTCTGTAGGTGTTTGTCAAGCGACGGCGCTCCGTGTCTCTGGTTTTCCGAATGTCAATCACCAACCTAAATTTAAATGTATCCCAGATCTGAGCGGCCTCGACCGAGCGTATCTACTCCGAGTCCAGTGTTGACCGCAACTCATCTAGCGCTTGTTCGATACAAAATTCGTTTGGCTTCCGCAGCAAACGGTTGAGGCGGATATACCTTGCGTGGTTTAATTATTTTACATGGGTTGTAAGGTTACTGTATATGAAGTACCACGTCAGCATGATCTGCCGTTGAGAAACCGGCAGGTTCGAGCGCAGTTGCCTTTGCCCACATTTTCCCATCGTCATATACGTACCAGTGATCCAATCTGCTCGACGCCAATCCTACTCATTCCACACGATAGTAGTAGCTATGATGGTCGTTATAAAATTGTAGTAGTTCTGTGTGATCGTGCTCGGGGGGAAAACGATTAACGAGTGTGTCGGTGAGGTTCCATTGCCGGATTAGCCTCTGTAGTGCCGGGGACCCATGCATTCTTCCGGGCGTCTGGTGTGATCGGTCCACATTATCATTAAGCGTACAGTTGAAATCTCCACCCACAAAGACCTTCACTCCAACCGGTAGCTCAATTTTATACAACTTCATAAAGTACTGTTCCCATTGCTGTAGTGCAACCGTGGCGTAGCAATTAAAAATGATCACGCCCTCCCCTTCTAAACAACCTTTGATCGCTATAAATCGATCCGTCCACTGTTCGTGAATCACAGCTGTATCATTCGTGAATTTACTTCGAGGATGTATTAACACGGCCACTCCCGCTGTCCTGCCGTCACTTGAGGACCAGAATGACAAGCCATCGCAGGTCGGACCTGTTCTGAAACCCCATTGTCTAGCATGTAGCTGTTTTACCAAATCTACTTCAGTTTCCTGAATATGAGTATCTTGTAAAAGTACTACGTCAAAAACTCCATTCGTGGAGCATCTTCTAAAAGAGGCAATCCAGTCATCCCGGTCTTGGTCGATCGATCCCAACCCGCGCACATTCTGAGTTAAACACCCTGCTGTCACATCACCTCGATTTAATTCCGCATATACCTGGTCGACATGTCCGTTTCCAATTAAAGTGCGTATTAACTCGCGTTGTTGACGACGAAAACGCCGTCGTTGTCGACGAAAATCTTGCCGTAATTGTCCTTCCCGTTGTTTTCCTGACAATGGCAAGTAAAACGCCCCCATAGTGGGTTGCCGAAGCCTACTTGAAGGATTGGCAGTTGAACTGCCTTTATTTGTAAAGAACAGGCGGCTTCGCCGCCAGCTCTTCCTGTGTTGTAGCTGGTACGGTTGCCGCCCGCGCTGTGGACAAATATAAGTGCTTGATTGCACTCCAATCGCGTCTGGAGTTTACGGCTTTGCACAATTTTCTGACTTCAGGGTACGTTGTATACCAGATAGCTCGAGCGCCATCGCCTGCTCTTACCAATGCGGTATTTGCCCAGTTCTTGAGTACGTATGGCAAGACTTGGGTGATATTCCAATGTGCTAACGGGACATCAGCTGGGCATCTGTGTACTAATGACTCGTCAACCAGTTTGCTTAACGCACTCCATGTTTTCTCCGCTAATGCGATATCAACAGCATCTTTGGTGGAAGAATCGTCTATAGATTTGACCCACGAATTACACAAATCTCGTGCGGCATCAACTTGTTCGTCATCGCCACTGATTCGCATCAACACCAATTTTATGTGATTGCATGCTTCTTGCTCACCCCACATCAATAGCTGTTCAATTGCCAGCTGTTGTACACCTAATTCAGGGAATGGCAAGTGGGCAACTAAATGGCGCATTGCTTTGGCATCGTCTACCGGCCACGAGGTCGTGACTTCATATCTAACCTTACGTCGGGCTAATCCATATCGTGACCCATTCTTTTCTACCCACTTCTTGAATGCTTTGCTATTTGCACTTTGTAGCTTCGTTGCCATTCTTCCGTCAATTGCCGATAATTGATGTGGCGATGCTTCTGAAAGAATACGGCAATATACCTCCATATGTACATGTGCAGAGCTTCCTACCGGCGTCCGTTTGGGCTGAGAGTGGAGAATTTGATCGTTTACCTCATGCTCATGGGTCCCGCTGGTATACACATCTAATCCGAGTTCTTCCAGAATATGCTGTTCCTCCGCTGCTGCTGCTACCGTGAGCGCTTTGTAGTCGATTGGGGCGCCATCTATATGTGCAATGCCTAACCGTGAGTGAACGTCGTGTAAACGATCCCTCATACTGCTGCCTTCTTGCTCATCCCATTGTGTAAATGTTTGACTAAGGCACTCAGTCGTCTCTTCATTCAATAGCAGCACGATCGGGACTACGTGAGCCTCTGAACACGTTTTTAGCAACTTCCCAATCGCCTCGACTGAACATTCCACTGCAATCCCGGCTTCATGAATATCACCATTCTGCATTTCAAATTGTGACTAGTGTACTGATACATCCGGACTACTCCTTGCTCTCCTATTGTCCAGACATAAATCGGTTCTCGGGAGTAAAGTGCCATAGCCCTCAGTTCGATAGCTGCTGCTCTCGCTCGAAATGCTATATGATCGGACGAACTCACGAATCTGTCAGCTGCAAAGTGTGCGTACAGCTTTGCTGTTGCGCCAGATGTTGTTGAAGGAGGCGTCATGCTCGGGTACATTCGCGTGAGTTCCTGGAGAGGTTGAACCAACTCGAGTTGAATGTTGTAGCGCAATTTGGCTAATACCACATTTAGTACATTCTTTTTGATCACATTGAGCGTTGCCGTGTCCTGTCTGTCCAATATCAGTCGATCACCTATGGGGTTGGAGGTTGCTGCAAAGTAAGCTTGATATAAAGACTGGCCATTTTCAGCAACAGAGACGCGGTGCCCACCATGCATATCCATCCACTCATTCAGAGCTCGGTTTATTGGGAGCGATGTCGTGTTGTCAGTGTGCCATTGCTGCATGACAGAATCCGATGCCTGATTTTCACTGTCATGATCACTTGTATTGGTGCCCAAGAATGTTATCTCAGCACCGGCATCTGGAAAATTGGTTTTTCTTCTACGTGCAATTCCTGAGGACTTGCAGTGCCTTCAACAGGGTTTGTCGTCACCCCATCGAATCTCTCTTTGTTAGCCGAGGATACAATAAGTTCAATGCCCTCCATCTCTTGGTGGGCTTCATGATGCTTAATTTCAACGTCTTCGGTGACCCCTTCATAATTGTCATCATCAATGTCTAAGATGGCATATGCTTCTCGAGGTTGTCTATAGCGTTCTGATGCAGCTAATTGTGCAAAGGTTTTGAACTTCATCGTTCGTTTTGTTGTTTTGAGTTTTTTCGTTTTGGTTGAAGACGTTTGAAATTGTTTCTTTGGAATGGAATCTGATGTACCCTTTACACATGAAGCCATCCTGTTGTCTGCATCGATGTTGTTACGCGATGCTGGACCGGGAGTTCCACGTTTAGTATTTTTCTTCGATCGTCCCTGTACTTTAAATACGGCAGCAGATGATGCTTCTCCGATCTTGGAAACCTCAGTAGTTGCTTGGTTTTCTGGCTCCGAATGATTAGAGGGAGTTTCCACGGTAACCACACTCAATGGGATGGCTTGTTCTTCTCCAGTTGCCATTTCAGAGTCTAAACATCTCAATACTTCAAGTGGATTATTAAGAAAATCAGTATCCACGTATTCATTGAGGACAAACTTGATAGCGTAAGGTATGTCGCCTGTGAAACGTCTCTGTCGTTTTGCCTTGGTATTTGCAAGCTGTTGCGGTGAAACTTTGCAGCTACTGTGATGATGTTTCGGGCTAAAGCACCGCATGCATGGCACTTCCGGTTCGCGCTTAAAATGATGTATGATCATATTTACTTCTTGTACGATGATACATGTCACTCCACGAAGAACTGAAGGACAATCCATAGTCGAAAATATTACCGTCCAGTAGTCGTTATCAGCTTCATTTAATCCATCTAGGCCACGTTGACGAATATCGAAAACACCATTACCTGTGATAGCATTAAACACTGCCATAAGTGTGAGAGGATCCTGTTGTGCCACCCCAATCACGTTAATTGCATAATACTGGGCAATCTGCGGCGGTGGTTTGATACCTATTTGGGTTGCATTTGCGCTCGCCAACACGAGTGCCCCACTTCGGAATTTTAGAGCTGCCCCTTCCCACGGCTTTGCTGTACGTTTTGAAGGGAACACGAAAGACAATGTATTGAGTCCATCAAACGCGATCCTCAGTGCATCTGTCATCAGCCTCTTCATCATGTCGTTTCCTTAAACAGTACCTCCGTTGACCGTGTGTAGTTCACGAAGTATAGACTTTTTCTGTAGGTATTTACCTACCTGCAGGTTGGACCCGACATTGGCAATAAGTGTGACCTCGATGTGTCGCTGGTGATAGGCTAGCATTACTGCCCGCTTCAGTGTCGTCGTCGTACACGTTAAGAAGGTGGGTGGAGCAGGTAAAACTAAATCGCCCTTCATGTATGCTGTGAATGCGTGCTTTTCGTCGGTCGTCATATCACGAAGATGTGCATCATCGTGTAGACGATAGACGGCAGTCGCGATAGAAAAAAGTCTTTTTAA